GGGTGAGTTTGGGATTATATGGGATTATATAGGATTGGAGTTCTGTGTGTGCCTGCTCAGGGAGAGGGTGAGTTTGGGATTATATGGGATTATATGGGATTGGGATTGGAGTTCTGCATCTGCCTGCTCAGGGAGAGGGTGAGTTTGGGATTGGAGTTGGGAATGGATTGAAGTTGGGGTGGGATTGGGATTGGGAATGGATTGGGATTATTTGGGATTGGGATTGGAGTTCTGTGTGTGCCTGCTGAGAGAAAGGGTGAGTTTGGGATTGGGATTATATGGGATTGGGGTGGGAATGGATTGGGGTGGGATTGGGATTGGAGTTCTGCATCTGCCTGCTTAGGGAAAGGGTGAGTGATTATTTAGGATTGGGAATGGATTGGGATTGGGGTGGGATTGGGATTGGATTATTTAGTGGGATTTTCCTGGATTATTCCATGGGATTTTCATGGATTGTTTCATGGTATTTGTGTGAATTATTCCATGGAATTTCCACTTTTCCCCTGGTTCATGGATTGCTTCATGGATTATTTAACGGGATTTTCGTGAATTATTTAATGGGATTTTCATGGATTCTTTCATGGCATTTTCAAGGATTATTTCATGGCATTTTCATGGATTATTCCATGGCATTTTCATGGATTATTTCATGGGATTTTCATGGATTATTCCATGGGATTTTCATGGATTCTTTCATGGCATTTTCATTGATTATTTCATGGCATTTTCATGGGTTATTCCATGGCATTTTCAAGGATTATTCCATGGGATTTTCAAGGATTGTTTAATGGGATTTTCCTGCATTATTCCATGGTGTTTCCATGAATTATTTCCCTGGATTTTCCCCCTTTTCCCCCAGTTCATGGACTGTTTAATGGCATTTTCATGGGCTATTTCATGGGATTTTCATGGATTCTTTCATGGGATTTTCATGGATTATTCCATGGGATTTTCCTGAATTTTTCCATGGGATTTTCCTGCATTATTCCATGGTGTTTCCATGAATTATTTCCATGGAGTTTCCCTCTTTTCCCCCAGTTTAATGGGATTTTTATGGGCTATTTAATGGGATTTTCCTGGATTGTTCCATGGCATTTTCATGGATTATTCCATGGGATTTTCAAGGATTGTTTAATGGGATTTTCAAGGATTATTCCATGGGATTTTCAAGGATTGTTTAATGGGATTTTCCTGCATTATCCCATGGTGTTTCCATGAATTATTTCCCCCTTTTTCCCCAGTTCATGGACTGTTTCATGATCGGCCGGGACCTGGTGCGGCTGCTGCAGAACGTGGCTCGGATCCCCGAGTTCGAGCAGCTCTGGAAGGACATCCTGCACAACCCGCAGGTGCTCAGCCCCCAGTTCACAGGTACAGCCTGGCAACCCTCTCTTTTCCACGGATTCCCCCATTTTCTGCTTTTCCAGGGATTTTCCCAATGTGTTTTTGGTGACAAAAGTGGGGTTTCTGTTGCTGTGCCCCAGGGGTGCTGCAGCTGCTGCAGTCCAGGACCTCCCGCAAGTTCCTGGCGTGTCGGCTCACGCCCGACATGGAGACCAAGCTGCTCTTCATGACCTCGAGGGTAAAATCCCACCTGGATCCCAAATTCCACCTGGATTCCATCCCAAATTCCCCCTGGGTTCCCAAATTTCTGATGGATTCCCTCCCAAATTCCACCTGGGTTTTGTCCTAAATTCCCCCTGGATCCCAAATTCCACATGGATTCCCTCCCAAATTCCACCTGGATCCCAAATTCCTGATGGGTTTTGTCCCAAATTCCCCCTGGATCCCAAATTCCCCCTGGATTCCCAAATTCCTGATGGGTTCCCAAATTTCTGATGGATTCCTTCCCAAATTCCACCTGGCTTTTGTCCTAAATTCCACCTGGATCCCAAATTCCTGATGGGTTCTGTCCTAAATTCCTGATGGGTTCCCAAATTCCCCCTGGGTTCCCAAATTTCACCTGGGTTTTGTCCTGAATTCCACCTGCATTCCCAAATTCCTCCTGGATTCTCAAATTCCTGATGGGTTCTGTCCTAAACTCCTGATGGGTTCCATCCCAAATTCCCCCTGGCTCAGGGTCCTGCTTGTCCCCACTGCCAGTCCTGTCCTGTGTCCCCATTTCCAGCTGTGTCCCCAGCCGTGTCCCCGTGTCCTTGTGCCTATCTCCATGTCCCATACCTGTCCCATGTCCCCATGTCCCATCCCTGTCCCCATGTCCCCAGCCATGTCCCATGTCCCATACCTATCCCCAGCTGTGTCCCCAGCCATGTCCCCATGTCCCTGTGCCTATCTCCATGTCCCATCCCTATCCCATGTCCCCATGTCCCCAGCTGTGTCCCCATCCCTGTCCCCATGTCCCATACCTGTCCCCAGCTGTGTCCCCAGCAGTGTCCCCATGTCCCTGTGCCTATCTCCATGTCCCATCCCTATCCCATGTCTCCAGCTGTGTCCCCATGTCCCAAACCTCTCCCCAGCCGTGTCCCCATGTCCCATATCTGTCCCCTGTCCCCAGGTGCGCTTTGGGCAGCAGAAGCGCTACCAGGACTGGTTCCAGCGGCAGTACCTGTCCCCAGCCATGTCCCCATGTCCCCATCCCTGTCCCCATGTCCCATACCTGTCCCCAGCCATGTCCCATACCCATCCCCAGGTGTGTCCCCAGCTGTGTCCCCATCCCTGTCCCCATGTGCCATCCCTGTCCCCATCCCTGTCCCCATGTCCCCAGCAGTGTCCCCATGTCCCCATCCCTGTCCCCATGTCCCCAGCTGTGTCCCCATACCTGTCCCCATGTCCCTGTCCCATGTCCCCAGCCGTGTCCCCATGTCCCTGTCCCTGTCCCCAGGTGTGCTTTGGGCAGCAGAAGCGTTATCAGGACTGGTTCCAGCGGCAGTACCTGTGCCCAGCCATGTCCCATGTCCCCATCGCTGTCCCCATGTCCCCAGCCATGTCCCCATCCGTGTCCAGCTGTGTCCCCAGGCTGTCCCCTGTGCCGGCTCATGCCCAGCCGTGTCCCCCAACACTGTCCCATGTCCCCAGCTGTGTCCCCAGATGTGTCCCCATGTCCCCATGTCCCCATCCCTGTCCCCAGGTGCGCTTTGGGCAGCAGAAGCGCTACCAGGACTGGTTCCAGTGGCAGTACCTGTCCCCAGCCATGTCCCCAGATGTGTCCCCATGTCCCCAGCTGTGTCCCCATGTCCTAAACCTGTCCCCATCCCTGTCCCCATGTCCCATCCCTGTCCCCAGCTGTGTCCCCAGCCATGTCCCATGTCCCATACCTATCCCCAGGTGTGTCCCCAGCTGTGTCCCCTGTCCCCAGCTGTGTCCCCAGCAGTGTCCCCATGTCCCTGTGGTTGTCCCCAGGTGCGCTTTGGGCAGCAGAAGCGCTACCAGGACTGGTTCCAGCGGCAGTACCTGTCCCCATCCCTGTCCCCATGTCCCCAGCTGTGTCTCCAGCTGTGTCCCCATCCCTGTCCCATGTCCCCATCCCTGTCCCATGTCCCTGTCCCTGTCCCCAGCCATGTCCCCTGTCCCCAGGTGCGCTTTGGGCAGCAGAAGCGCC